ATTAAACTAATTTCATAATTAATTAACTTTACATATTGAACAGAACTGATAATTACTGATGATTATTTGAGCTTACACTCTCTTTCAGTGTCATATTTTTAAAAATCCAGTTTGAAAAGCTTTTTCGTTTATATTTCTCTCAGTTGAGACACACAGATCTCTCTTTACTACTGATGTTCATTTGTCATGTGTATTTGCTTGTCTTTATCAATAAAGTTTTCTCACTCTGAGCTTCAAGAGCCACTCCTAGTTTTATTACATTTATTTAATATTTATTAACATATTATTTATATGTTGAGCGCCTCCTGGAGGAAAATAAACTGTTTAATAGTTTCAGCAGTGCATCACATAAAGCTTTACATTATTAAAACATTTTTAAAAGTCTACATTTTTGTTAAGCTCATTAGTTTTTGTAAAAGTTATTTTTTAATCCACAATAATAAACAAACAACTATATTGCCTCATTTAAATCTTTGTAGTCTGATTTTTGTGTCGTTGGCTGTGTTCGAAATGGCATACTAACATACCGCCTACTGCTCAGTATACAGTGTATACTGCCTACTATTTTTTTTAAAGAATAGAATAGTGTGTGAAACAGTATACAATAAGCAACAAAATGTTTCAAAGTAGTATGCTACAGTGTTGTCACATGACAAACACTGAATGCATACAGAAAATTCACATACTATTCACAGTATACACACAGCATACTGCAATATAGTATGGTAGTATGCCATTCCGAACAGCTTCTGTACTGATTTCAGTGTACTTGAGTTATATTTAGCAGATTCTGGCAAGTCATCTGGGTATTTCATGCATACAGAAAGTTTGCATACTATGCAGAGTATACATACTGGATACTGCAGAAATAGAAAGAGTAGTATGATAGTATGGCATTTCGAACACAGCATGTGTTTCATCTGCGGATCAACAGCACCATCTAGTAGATATTGAACAGAACTGAATCAACACTGAGCTGTCTTTAACTGAACAACAATAGTGTTTTCTTTTTGACAGTTACACTAAGTGAAAAAAGTGATATATTCTAGTTACACTAAGTGCAAATAATGATAACTTTTGTTTACACTAAAATATCCGTATTTTCTTTAGCAATAGGCTAAGTGTAAGTAGTACTTAGGTGGCAGATATTTATACTTCAGTACTGTAGTACATTATAAAACAGTATGTAATAACATATTGAGTGTAAATTATCATATTTATTAATATTATTAAATGGATGCCGCCTTTTTGGGACAATAGGGGTTATGCACAACAGACTTCTGTATTCTGTTAACCTGGTCTCGCTGCTTCTGGTTTAAGCGTTTTGCAAATGCTTCGTTAAATATGAAGCAGTTTTACTCAAGACGCCTTCAAAGTAGATGCCAAAGATTTTCGTCAACAATAAATAACAGCTAGCTAGTTAACTGATTATCTTAAAAGTCCATAGATATCGCTATTATTTATTACGGCTGTTAACACGTTCTCCGACAAGCGGAAGCGATTTTCCTGGTTTGGTCAGGTGACGTTCAACATATACCCTATAAAGCCCTCCACCTACTGCTTACCATACTCAATAACACTGTATTATTAATGAGGCATTTTATTTCAACTTCTAAAATATTTATTTTATTTTTATTGAAAATAAATGCCTTTCCGATCTGATATGTGATGGGAAATCTAGCTTCGAATCTAGCTTGATCGCGTCATTTACTTAGCGTTTTACTCGCTACGCCACTGATACTGCTAACTAATAGGCGTCTTTTGCATTACTGTTTATCGCAGCCAGGCGGTGGTGGGCGGAGTTACTGTAGCCTCTGCCAACAAATTGGGCTATTTGTACTTTGAGTAAATAGACACTCCGTGCCTTTTTAGAGCTGCTTTACAGCGGAATTGAATTCTGCTCGCATATTTTAAATATTGTTTTCATTTATATATTATATGTTATTTATATATTATATTACTGCAATATTATTATTATTTAATATCTTTGAAACAATCTGTACTGTATAAAGCGCTATTGAGATAAAGGTGACGTCATTTGACTTGATCGGAAACGTGCCGTAGAGATTGAGGTACAATCTATGTCTATGTACAGAGCAATAGTTTGTAGTTAGTTTGTAACACGTATATAAGTACATATAAAAGTGTTACATTTATAATTACTATCCCCCGCCTCCAGTTCACTAACGCATTTGAATATGAAACGTCACGTGGAGCATGTTGCGTTGTGGGAAACAGTATCCCATGCAGTGTCTTCAGATGCATACATCAGATTTCAGCAAATTGTAGCAGGTAATCCGGGAATTCCATGCATACCGAAAATTCACACATTCACAGTATACACATAGCATACTGCAGTATAGTAAGAATTGTATGGTAGTATGCCATTCCAAACACAGCTTCTGTACTGATTTCAGTGTACTTGAGTTATATTTAGCAGATTCTGGCAAGTCATCTGGGTATTTCATGCATACAGAAAGTTTGCATACTATGCAGAGTATACATACTGGATACTGCAGAAATAGAAAGAGTAGTATGATAGTATGGCATTTCGAACACAGCATGTGTTTCATCTGCGGATCAACAGCACCATCTAGTAGCTCAGTCTGAATCAGCATGTTATCAGGAGTGATCTGCTCAGTTTCCTCTGACTCCACTAGTTCTGTCTGATTGCTTTTGCTGTTCAGCTGGGGGTCATTTGCATTCACACCAAAGAATTTCTTCCCAAAAGAGGTATTACTTTTATTTATTACAGAATGTCTCTTTTTGGACACAATAGTGTCTGGATCTTGTCTGAATGGAGTTGTCAGTTTGTTGGTCTGTTCTTGTCCCACCAGAACTTGGTCCTCAAGCTGTGAATCTCTTCCAGGGGAGTAGGTTTGATTTTTAAATTGGTTGTGACATCCACGGAATATTGAATAGGATTATGTATTAAGGTTTTTAGTTTATATTGACATCATAAATGTGTAAACTAATGAATTCTGTAATATTACAGGTAAGTAATAATGACAAGGGGGCAGTTTAACAGAGACTAAACTTTACTCATAACTTACATTGTTCATAGTGCAATGTAATCGTCAATGTCAATGTGTCTACTGACTTGTCCCTTGCTATTTGAAGAAGCCAAATACATGTCTGCATAAGTCATTAACAGAAATTAACTGTTGGTATATTTGATTCCCATCAGTATTGTTCAGTTTGTCCTGGTGGTCGTGGCACACAGCAATACTGTTCAGTCTCACTTGTGCCATTGTTGTTCTGAGCCATGTTTTCAGTCTCCTTGATGAGACTGGGGCGAATAAAAGCAGCCTTAGAAGAGTTTTAACTTGATCAAACAGGCCTTTCAACTGGGAGTCCTTTCGTGATATTAGCCACTTCAGAACTGGATTTGAAAGTGTTTTTGGAGCGAAACATGGCTAACTGGACTTTTGGACTCTCCCAGTTTAGTTCTGGGTATCAATCAACACTGGAGACTGCAATACTTCTGACAATACAATTTCCTAAAATAACACATTGATGCATATCAAATGAACAGTGAGGAAAAGCATCTACGGCTTAGTATTATTTTTACAATTGTTGATGATTCTACACTTTAGCAATTTAGAAGATATAACAAGTGACTTACTTGTACTTGTTTTAAAGTAGATCCTGATGTACCTTTCTTTTTTTAAGCTGCTATCCTGACTCAAATTCACAAATTAGCCTAATTGATAAACACAGTTTTTTTCCTCACTATATTAATCAGGTTAATGTGTTTCAGACTTCAGGTGTTTCAGGTTCATGATTCATATTTTATACAAGCCCCATAGCATAACCCTTATGGAAACCTGTGCAAAAGTCATGCTGTTCCCAAGAAAAATGGAGCCTGGTTTGACCGGCATGGTCTTTCTTGTGAAAGTGGTTGACCAAGATGGTCTTGCTGGGTTTGGTGTGAGTAGGCCCGTGTCTGTGCATGCAAACACTGTTGTGGAGAAGTATTGTTTCTGCTTTTGTATTTCTACATTTAACACTTCAATGATGTAAAGGCCATTAAAAAAAAGCCATATAAGATTGTGATATATAGTAATAATGTATTCATTTCTTTTGCTTCCTCTTTTAAAAGTAGAACTGAAAAGTTTAATAGTTTGTTATGATTACATTATTAATCAATGTCATCTGAAGTTTAGAATAGCAAAGAATAAAATTCAAACCGGTAAAATGTGTATCAGTTTATTTATGAGACAAATTTTAAACATCAGTTGTTGGGTTTGTTTTCTTACAAAAAGTTGTCTTATTCTTCATAGAACAACTGGCAACTGCATAATATAGTCATGCATTTCACATGCATATTGTGCACAGTGTTTTACACATAAAAATGTCAAAATTATCAAATCAGTTATAATCAGCTTGTGTACAATGTAAAGCAAAATATTTTGAGAAACTTGAGGTCTACTGGAGCTCAATGCGGTGAGTTCAGATGTTGTGAAATGAGCAAAGAAAAAAAAGCTGCCAGTGGTCACACACATTAACACTGGATAAATAGCGGTTATTTTAGCCGACAGTTTCTCATGACTTTACTACAGATCAGCCTCACATCAGCTCATCTGTCATTTTATTACTGAACCAGTTCTGAAGAGTTTGTCTTTTCATATTTGTGGACTGAAACCGTTGAAGATGTTTGACAGATTTTGCTTCTGTTTGTGTTTGTGGAGTCTGGTTGGTGAGTTTTTATGGCTTCAGTTCCTTCAGATTCAGTGTTTGTTTTTTCTTCTAAATGTTCTTTATATAAATCACTGAAGCTCAAACAGCAGCAGCTTTAGTTTCAGTGTGACGTGATTCTCATCTGCAGTAAAAGTTTTCAGTGTATGATGTTGTGTGGAGCTCAAATCAACTTATTGATTTCAAATGTAAATTTCAACTGATTACCTCATTAAACCATCATACAGTTATTTAAAAGTCAATTTATTTATTTCAACAGAAACATCTCATTCTGTTTGTGCTCTGTGTGTTTGCTGATGCAGATGCAGTGACGACTGTATCAGTGATGGAGGGAGATTCAGTCACTCTAGAAACTGGTCTTACTGAGTGGAGCAGCAGGAGGAGAGAGACCACATACAGATCCACTGTTAATGTCTATGGTGAGTCATCATGATCATTCTTTATTAAGTGTTTTTACACAAATATTTATTTAATAAATATTTGTAAAATAAACAAACCACTTAGTCATTTAAGAACACATTATAGTTTTTAATTAGTCTTTTATTTGGTCATTTTCTATGTGATGTTTTTAAGTGACAGTGTAGTCTTGTAAAACTTTAATCTATAGTGTTTATTTACTGAGCTGATCTGTCTTTTGCAATAGGATCTAGCTGCAGACATGCACTTGCACTCTCAGACTTGCACTACTCACACTCACGCGCTGTGTTGCTAATAAACATGATAGAATTTCAGTTCTGTTGCCTTTATATGAAAGTAAATATGATGAACAAGACACACAAAGTACTTGCTATTTAATTCCATTCGAAAAACTTATTTATTATCCATTTTCACTTGAATACAAACATGTATTCTAGATTTTTGTTGTTTTTTAGAAATATGACAACAATCACATATCTCACACAGAGATCGCACTGTCATAGTGTTTGGGAATATTCATGCATAATTTAAACTCATAATTACATGATATCAGATAAAAAAAAAATAAAAAAAAACATTTTAGAAGAGAACGTAACATCACACTTGTTTGAACCAATGAGCATTAAGCTGTGTCTTCAGCAAGTCGTTTCCCATCATGCTTTTGGTCAGTGCAGTCGGTGGAGAGCAACTGCGCTCGACTGCACGGCCGACTCGCTGTCACGAGAGATTTTTGACACACATCGGCGTGACTTCAGAGCATCAGACTGCCCTCGGACACATTTCTAACTGGCATGCATCTTGCGGTGATCACCGGTGGTCGGTTCTGCACAGATCAAATAAGCCTACTCTGGTTAAGGCTAGAAGGGATATAGCTGCGGCTACTGGGCATGCGCACATCAATATAGCATAATTTTTGTCACACTGAACAACAATAATTACTGTATTTGCATTATTGTAAGGGGTGGGTTTAGGGTTGGGGTAGGTGTAAACGTTAATAAAACACAATCTAATAGGAAGAAAATGTAATAGACTTGTACTTTCAGACACCTGCACTTCCACAAGTGACGTCACTTGCAATCTTTTTTTATTTTTATTTTATTTATTTATTTATTTACATTGAATCTCTCAACATTTTACAACAGTAGCCAGGTGGTGAAGACAAGAAAAAAAGAAACAAAATTACAGTGTCACTTGCAAACACCACCTGCACTCTCCGCTACCTGCGCGACGTCACTTGCAATCGACACAAATGGTGCGTGTTGCCAATGGAGACGAGATGCTGTGGTGGTTAAACAAATAAAACTAATTTAGTACCATAATGTACAGGGTCCTGCAAGTCACCAGTAGGAGAAAAAGACAAGACCCACAAATCCGTGCCCACAGAACAGCAGAATATGAACTCAATGCGCAAAGTCTCTCATTAAGCGTTTTCCTCCCGTAGAAAACCATAAACACTTAATATGGCTTAATGTAGGTATTAAGATAGTGCTATTAAAAGATCAAATTCGATATACAATCGATATACGATTGCAAGTGACGTCGCGCAGGTAGCGGAGAGTGCAGGTGGTGTTTGCAAGTGACATTGTAATTTTGTTTATTTTTTCTTGTCTTCACCACCTGCTACTGTTGTAAAATTCTTAGAGATTAAATAAAAAAAAATTAATTAATTAATTAATTAAAAAATTTAATAAATTGCAAGTGATGTCACTTGAGGAAGCGCAGGTGTCTGAGAGTGCAAGTGCATGTCAAGGCGCCGGTCTGATCTGCGTTTGTTTATGTTGTGTCCTGGTCTGCCTGGAGCACATGGCTGTCAGTTGTTATTTATGTTTGCCATGTGCTCTATTGTCTATTGTTACCCTGCCCCTCTTGTTACCTTATTATCTTGTTAGGGTTAACACCTGTTTTAGATCATTAGTCACCCTTTATATTCCCCTCTTGTCTTCTGTCCTGTGCCAGATCGAATCTCTGCTCTGCTGAGTTAATCGGGCTCTTGTCTCTGTTGACTGTTATCCTGTTGTTGTCTAGCCTAGTCTTAAATAGTTTATTTTGCATTTATTTTATACTTTTGATATTAGGGTTTTTTTCTTTTGAGTTAGTTCTGTTCTCTCTAGTTCCTAGTTTTTGAGCTCCTGCCATTTAGTTTTTGTTTTTCCCCTTCCCCCTTGTGCTCCCCCATCGGCTTTGGCTGCTGGACTCCCTACCGCCTGCCTCCTCCCTCCTATCCTTCACTGCCCAGCTCTACCTGCTCCCCTGCCCTTCCTGTTCCATCCATCCAGCTGCTCTGCTAATATCAGGCTGGTCCACCAGCCTCAGAGGATTCCAATTAAGTCAGCCAGGCTTCTGCCTTCACCCTCCAGGAACACTTCCTCTCCCTCCCGCTGTCGCCATACTCTGTCCCTTGGTGTTCATTGGAGAGCTGGACTGTCTCGTTGCTCTTGGACTGTTACTCTCTGCTCTTTGCCCTGAAACCCCATTCCTAGACGCCTCCTGTTGAGCTGACTTTCACTTCCACGGACCTGGCTGGAATCTCTCCTGGTTACCCTCTCGGACAGTGACTTGGTACCTGCTTTGTGTTAGAAACTCAATAAGTCTTTGTTATCCCTGCAACTGATTCCTCTTCCTTTACCACCCCTGACGGTACATGTCTGCAGCCAGACCCTTGTCTTTTGTTGTAGATCAGACTGACACATTCACTCACATTAATGACTGTCTTTAGCCGTTACAACACCAGACCCACAGACTCTATCAAAGACTACTTCACATAGTCCAGCCTCAGGATCTCAGATAATATTGCTGATCTCTGCTGCTGCTGCTGGATCTCTGGTGATTGTGGCTGTAATTGGGTTGTTTTGTATCTGCAGGAAACGCAGAGGCGCAGGTCAAGTCAATCTACAGCTCACACATCTGTAAAAAATAATTGTGAATCACCAATGTTCTCCATGTTTTGACTGAATGTCTGTCATTACAGTTCATGAAGATGAGACTCCAGCTGCTGCATTACTCTACAAACACACTGGACTAATGACGGTAAGAGTCTCTGTGTCGTTTCAATGACATTTCCATTTATTGAATTAGCTACAAAATAACTGCATATATAGCAATATTCCCGTTTAAAATTCTAATATGATTGCATACTGCTTACTGCTTCAAAAACACATTACACATATTTGGCAGTGTGGTATATTATGTGTTTAACATGTGTTTTATGGTTTCCATAATCTAATCTATAATGTAGGTTTTATTTATTTTTGTTGCTGTTAAAGTTGCTTGTGTGCAAAAATTTCACAAGTTCTAATAATATAAAAGACCCAGATCATAATTCACAATCATTCAATGCAACAAACACTGACTCGTATCCCATAACTCAATTTATGCATTTTTCCTAACAAGGTTCAGGACTAATGAATTATGAATCTTTCTGAAGAATTGGTAGCAAATTTCTGTCATTTGTTAATTTTTATTTATCAGGTTTGTTTTTCTCCTTTGGCCTTTAGTGTTTGCGTTTGTTTTACAGGAATCAGATGTGACAGAGGTGATTTACATGTGTTTCACCAGATAACACTGATCAAACTCTCCCTGATTCTGTTTCCTCACAAATCATATACTGATCACTGCTGATATAACTGCATCTGGCTTTTACACTCTTACGGTTTCAATTTTTTTGATTTGTCATTTGTATTTCTTCGACGTAATTTCTTAGTTTATTGTAATCCTGAATGATTAATACTTGTAGATTAACTAATATAATAAAAATAATGAATATAAAATAAATGAAAATGTTTATCATCTTTTAAATAACCTGAGAATTCGTTTTCCCATTTCCTGGATTCTTGGAAGCAGAAGTCGTCATAGTTTGATAAACTTCCACAGCGGTGAACGGGAGATACAGAAAGTATCATTTTTGCATTTGTATTTGGTTGAACAGCAAACGAAACCCAATCCACAATGTAATCTAAAGGGTTTTCCAGAAGAGAAAATATAAAAATATATAGAGAGACTGATTACGACAGTCAGAAGAGAGAAGGACGTCGAAGTCACTGTCACTTCCTCAGCAACACAATCGCTGCAGGTTTTACTACTTTATTTATTTAATGTAACGCCAAGGTAAATGAATAGTGTAATGTGATTTTAAAAATGAAAATATACAAAAAACTTAGTAATGTAGGATTTTAATCTCTCAGGTAAT